TGAGAGAGCCACTGGCTCCTTACCCATTTGTTAGCTATTTCAACAATGTTGTTGCTATTAAGTGCCATTGAGTCAATTCTGACTCGCAGTGACCCCATGCACAACCGAACTAAACACTCCCTGGTTCTGCGCCAGCCTCACAATCTTTGCTATGCTTGAGCCGATCATTACAGCCACTGTATCAATCCATGTCATTGAGCTCTTCCTCTTTTTCATGGACCCTCTACCTTACCAACCTTGATGTTCTCCTCCAGGGACTGGTCCCTCCCAGTCACATGCCCAAAGTATGTAAGAGAAAGTCTCACCATCCTCACTTTGAAGGAACATTCTGATTGTACTTCTTCATAGACATATTTGTTTATTCTTCTGATAATCCACCGTATATTTGATATTCTTTACCATAATTCAATAAGGAGCTCTGGTAGCGTAGTGGTTAAGAATCGGGCTGCGAACCTTAAGGTCAGCAGTTCGAAACTACCAGCCGCTCCGCGGGAGAAAGATGAGGCTTTCTACTCCCATAAAGATTTACACCCTTGGAAACCCTGTACAGGGTCGCTATGGGTCGGAACCGACTCGACGGCACTTAACAACCATAATTCAAATGCATGAACTTTATTCACTGTCCATCTACATAAGAGGTGACTGAAAATATGACAGCTTTGGTCAGGTGCACCTTAGTTAGTCCTTCAAGTACATCTTGGCTTTTTAATACATTTAAAAGAAGCCCTTTGCAGCAGATTTGGCCAATGCGATAAACTGATTTCTTGATTGCAGTTTCCATGAATTTACATGGATTGTGAATCCAAGTAAAATGAAATACTCAACAACTTCAATCTTTCTGTTTAGTGTGATGTTTACTGGTCCTGTTGTGAGCGTTTTTGTTTTCTTTGTGTTGAGGATGAATTCATACTACGGGCTGACCTTCATCAGTAAATGCTTCAAGTCCTGTTTGCTTTCAGCAAAGGCAGTGTATCATCTGTAGATCCCAGACTGTTAAAGAGTCTTCTTCCAATCCTGATGCCATGTTCTTCTTCATACAACCCAGCTTCTCACATTATTTGCACTGCATAAAGATTGAGTAAATACGGTGAAAGGATACAACTCTGAAGCACTCCTTCCCTGATTTCCAACTATACATTATCCTCTTGTTCTGTTCAAGAATAACTGCCTTTTGGTTTATATGCAGGCTATTCACAATCATAATGAAGTGTGGAATTACCATTCCTCTCAATGTTATTCATAGTTTGTTAATCCACATAGTCAAATGTCTTTGCATAGTCAATGAAACACAGGTAAGCATCTTTCTGGTATTCTCTGCTTTCTGTCAAGATTCATTTGACATCAGCAATGATATCCCTCATCCCACGTCCTCTTTTGAATCTGACTTGAAATTCTGGCAGTTCTCTGTTGCTGTACTGCTGCAACCATTTTTGAACTATCTTCATCAACATTTTACCCGTGAGTAATAGTAATGATATTGCCCAGTAATTTCTGTCTTCTGTTGGAATAGCTTTCTTTAGAATGGGGGCAAAGATGGATCTCTTCAAGGTGGTTGTGCAGATAGTTGTCTTCCAAATTTCTTGGCATAAATAAGTGAGTGATTTCAGCATTGCATCCATTTGTTGAAACATCTCAATTGGCATTCTGCCAATTCCCAGAGTCTTGTTTTTCATCAATGCCTCAGTACAGCTTGGACATCTTCCTTGAAATCATTGGTTCTTGATCGTATGCTACCTCCCAAGATGGTCGGATGCCAACCAATTCTTTTTGATAGAACGAGTATGTGTATTTTTTCTTTTGATACTTCCTGAATTGTTCAATATTTTGTCCATAGAATCCTTCAGTATTGTAATTTCAGGCTTGAATTTTTCTTTCAGTTATTTCCGTTTGAGAAATGCCAAGCATGCTCTTCCCTTTTGGTTTTCTAACTCCTGGTCTTTGTACATTTCATTATAATTGCATATTTCATTAAAGTGATCATTCCCAATTTTTGTGTTATAGTGCTGTTTTAAACATTATTATACATAACTTTTTGTACCTATCTGATATACTTATTATAATTTTTTCTCGATGCACTTTCTTCATTAAAAGCCAAAAACAGCTTGAAAGATTTCCACACATATTGCAAACTGCCCTCCTAATCACACTCTCTGTGGCTGGGAATTAGAGAGGCTGAGCCCCTGACAGGTAACAATACTGGGTATTCTGATTTTTCAAAAAATCTTTGCCAAGGTGAGAAGTGATGGATAAGGAGGGTGAACATGCTTTCATAGGTGTACTGGTCATTTTCCTTCCTTTGTAAAATGATTTGCTTTTTCACGTCCCCTGGAAAGTAAGATCCATGAGGACAGACATTTTACTATATCTTGACCACAGGTATGACCAAAACATCTAAAAATAATATGTCCAGTGCACAGCAGGAGTTCACTAAATTTTTTTTGAAGGAATATATTTTCTAATTGGGTGCTCATATTTAAAAATTTTTGATTTATCAAATCTGTATATATATATATACATATTAATGGGTGACCTAGTACTAGCACCTATTGTATCCAATTTGCCATTTCTCTTTTAGCTTTGTTTATGGTACTTTTGGAGTCCTGGTGTGACATTATAGGATAAGCAATGGAGTACTGACTACAAGGTCAACAGTTCAAACTTACCAGCTGCTCCTCTGAAACTCTATACAGGGTCATTATGAGTATGAACCAACACAATGGCACTTTACAATAACAACCTGGTTCTTTTTATCAAAGGGCATTTCTATAACTCAAAGGTTAACTAACAATAACATATAAATGTTGCTTCTTTTGTTTCTATGCTTAGAAAAATCTTCCCCACCAAGATTGAATAATGACTCACTTCTACTTTCTTTCTTCCATTAATGTTATAGTATAAAATAAGTGCTAGAAAAATGCAAACTATTCTTATATTCATCCAGGAATGAGCAGTTTCCTCTTACCCGATCTCTAGCGCCACTGTGATGTTGTTGTTGTTGTTAAGTACCGTGGAGTCGGTTCTGACTCACAGTGATCCTGCACAGGGTTTCTGAGGCTGTAAATCTTTACGGGAGCAGGAAGCCTCATCTTTCTACCGCAGAATGTCTGGTGGTTTCGAACTGCCGACCTTGAGGTTAGCAGCCCGATTTGTAACCACTACACTACCAGAGCTCCTTAGCATGTTATAATTTTATATATACTTGTGATTGCTCTTGGATCTGTCTACTGTTTCATTGGCTGTATATTTTTGTGTCATTACAAAGCTGTTTTAATTATTGCAGTTTTGTAAGGTGTTTTAATATTTGACTGTTACAGTCCCTTCTTTTTTTTTTTTTTTTAATTTAAGGTTTTTATTGTGGATTGAGTGAAAGTTTACAGGGCACATCATCAGTTTCACATTCAACACTTCATATAACTTGTTTCATTACGTTGATTATAATCCCCTCCATATACCATCAGTTAAAAATATTTTACAGTCCCTTCTTTTTAAAAAGTTTTTTGATTTAATCTAAGTTTTTCCAGTTACAAAAAAATCCCCCATAAGTGATGTGATTAGAATTTGTATCATAAAAAATAAATTGAGGAGGCAGCATCTTTATATTGAATATTTTCATCCAGAAACATACGTTCATGTAAAATAAACATTTTATGTATACTTCATCCCAATAAAATGTTATAATTTTCTTTATAGAGTTTCTCAATAATTCCTTTTATCTTTATTCCTAAACGTCTTGGTTACTGTTAATATTTGAATAGGGCCCTTTACTACCAGATCTTCCAAGTTGCTGACTGATACAATTGCTGTTGATTGTGTGTGGAAGTTGTGTGATGGCATAGTGAACTATACTGAACTTCATTAGTTCCAGTAACTCATTAGGAGACTCTCTTAGATTTTGTAGAAAAACAATTATATTGTGCAACTCAATGCAATTTTATTCAAGATGTCTATTTTCTAAAAGCTATATATATATATATATTCCTTTTTCCCCCCTCACATTACTCTGGCTAGGACTTTCCGAACGAGGCTACATTATACCGGTCTCCACTGACATTCTTGTGTTGCCAGTTACTTTCATGTAAGTTCCTCTATGGTCTTACCATTGAATAGAATACAATTGGCTATTGATTTGAAGAGAGTTGTTTTGTTTTTATTTAATATCAAGAAAGTATTCTTTTAATTCTAATTTACTAAAAGGGGAATTAATAACTCAAATGCTCTATTTAGGGGTCAGATTCTCAAAACTAACAGTGTTGTCGCTGCTGCTCCTAAGTTATATGCCAAGTGACAGTGCTAATGATAACAGATCTTAAACCAACAGGGAATCAAGTGTGATATGTAAGGCCAGAGTTATACATTTTAACTATGAATCAGCTTTGCGTCTTCAAAGACCCCTTAAATATTTTGTTACATGTAATTATTGAATGAAAGATAAACACTGGACTGTGAACTACAAGGTCCACAGTGTGAGCCCATTAGCGGCTCTGCAGGAAAAAGTAGAGGCTTTCTGCTCCCACAAAGACATACAGCCTCACAAACCCTATACAGGTTCGCTATGAGTCAGAACCGATTCAATGGCACATAACAACAGCAGGGTTTTTAAAAAAATGATTTAAAAAACATGAAAGCGTATTAAATTTATTAAATGACTTTTCAAATTGCAACAGTCATATGCATTTCTTCTCCTTTAATATTTTAATGAATTATATGAACAGATGTTTGAATATTGAAACATAGTTCATCCCTTGAACTCAAATACATAATTTAACCTTAAAATGCATTCTAATTTCTATCTGCAGTAAATTTTTTTTCTAGTTATATTTCCTTTTGTTTCATATTTGTTTGTTCTTTGAGTACATCCTAACTGAGATTGGAAAAGAACGGTCAGGTGCATGCTGATGAGGAGGGGAACTGTAGCTAGGGTTTGAAAGTTGCCATCGTTGATCCCACATATAATAAAGTGGAGAAGTAACCAGCAGACTTTTAGTCCCTACATTACTTACCCATTTGGATTTCTTTCCAGCTCATTTAAAAGTGTATGATCACAGTATTCAAAAACCAAATGCATTTTCCTTTTTCTCCTGAACACCTCAATGAGGTTCACAAGGTTTGGATGTTTTAATTGCTGCAAAGGAATGGAAACACAAGACTTAGGGATCTGTTTCTAGTAATACCTTCTGCCCAGACCTCTTAAAATTTGAAGATTTGAAGGCCTGATTATCAATATCAAGGCATCTCTTGTGGAGACTTTCATTACAGTTACTCACAAGAGAAATTTCACTTAGTAAGAATCATAAGAGTCTTAAAGCGGGAAGAAATTTAAGAATTTATAGGATCCAACTATAAGAGACGGTGACTAAACTGTTTGAATCTCTCTGGTGATAGCAAATAAAGCATGTAAGTTCAAATATAAGCAAAATCCCCCAAAATATGCATTTTATGGAAACTCAAAATATACAAGTCATAGAATGATCGGAATAGATATTATTGAGAAGACCCTAAAAATAACATGTTGCCTTGGATTTAATGTAAGTATCAGCTTTATTTTAAGTTCAGTCTGGACTCTGGGGTTCACTCTCAACTATACTAGATGCCAACCCCCAAATTTGATGAAGTTGCTTATTCCAGGAACCTCCATAGTCAGTCTGTATTTTAAATTTACTTATTATGTTTCAGCTCTATTCTTTCATTCTGTTGTTCTCTCTCATTGTTACGTATTTTATGGGTTAAACTCCATTCCCAAATGAAAGCATTTTCCAAGGGAGTTGTGTACAATATAAACCAGAGGAAATCTGTGATTAAGTAAAACAATCTCTAACTAACTATGTAACATACCATCCACTTATATTTTGAGTGTAAGCCAGGACTGTCCCATAGACAGACCAACACACAGTTACTGATGTTCCAGTCTATACCTAAGGAGCCCATACAATGCAGTGTACAAGCCAGGGCTTCTAACCACAGAAAGAACTGGGTAAGCAATTGTAAACTAGGAGAATATAAGATCACAACTACTTATAACTCCTCTTCCCTGTTATTTTCCCCGGTAGTAGGCAAATCAATTTTCTAAACCCTATGCTATTTACCACAAGAGACAAAGTGTTTTATACACTGTTGATATTCAATAAATATTTGCAGGCCCAGCAGAGAATCTTAGGTACAGGGACCACATAGCATGCTTCTATTTAAAGCTCTGTACATAGCTTGACCAAAAAAGTATCAGTCTGTAACTATGTACCTGCTGCTCACCAGCTTGGGAAACCCAACCCGAATGCACTGCCACAGAGGCCATTTTGATTCATAGCGACCCCCACAGGACGAGCCGTGGTTTCCGAGACTACAAATCTTTATGTGAGCAGACTGCCCCAGCAATCTCCAGAAGAGTGACTGGTGGGCTTGAAACATCCACCTTTCTGTTAGTAGCCCAACACTTGGTGCACTGCACCACTGTTGTAGTTATTGTTAATTGCCATCGAGTCGGTTCCGACCCATAGTGACCCTGTATAGCGTTTCCGAGGAGCAGCTAGTGAGTTTGAACCACTGACCCTGCAGTTCAAATCGACTTTGCAGTCCAGCACATTAACTCACAGCACCATACCAGGACTTCCACCGCACCATTGTTGTTGTTGTTGTTTTTAGGTGCCATCGAGTCAGTACCGACCCATAGCGACCCTATGCACAGCAGAATGAAACATTGCCCGATCCTAGGTCAACCTCACTACTGTTGCCACGCTTGAGTCCATCGATGTTGCCACTTGGCCAATCCATCTCATTGGGGGTCTTCCTCTTTTTCTCTGACACTCCACTTTACCAAACATGATATCCTTCTCCAGTGACTGGTCCCTCCTGACAATATGTCTGAAGTATGAGAGACGAAGTTTGGCCATCTTGGCCTCAAAGGAGCATTCTAGCTGCACTTCTTCCAACACAGATCTATTGGTTCTTTTGGCAGCCCATGGCACTTTCAATATTCTCCTCCAACACCATAACTCAAAACCATCAATTCTTCTACAGTCTTCCTTAGTCACTATTCAGCTTTCACATGCATATGAGGTTATTGAAAATACCATGGCTTGTGTCAGGCACACCTTAGTCCTCAAGCTGATATCTTTGTTTTTCAACACTTTAAAAAGGTCTTGTGCTGCGCATTTGGCTAATGCAATATGTCGATTTCTTGACTGCTGCTTCCATGAGTGTTGATAGTTGATCCAAAAAGAATGAAGTCCTTGACAACTTCAATCTTTTCTCCATTGATAAGAATGAAAACTAGCCTAGAGCACCACAACAGTTTGTCTTTCCTGAGCTCCACTGCCTAAAAGAGCACAATGGGAAAACAGCAGAAGCAAGTGGTCACTAACTAGTAGGCTAGGTGCTTTGTGCTGAAACAGAACCACAGTATGCCAGTAAGACACGCTGCACCCCACCATGGCTGCAAGACTGTCACAGTGCTAGAGTTAGAGGCAACGTCAGGGTCAAGCCTGGTTGAACCTGCTGCCTTTGTGCGGTTCAACAATTGTACTCCTTTTCAAGTGAAGTTAACTTAGCCTAGAGAAATAAAAACAGCGACTTGCCTAACGTAAAATAGGTACTACAGAAGAATCAACAATGTAAATTAAAGAAAAAACCCCAGAAACAGGAGTACATGGGGAGTGTAAGGTAGATTTATCATAGGAGCAATATGTTCTGGGGGCAATATATCAAAAGTAGGAAAGATGTATATTCTGATTACAGTCTGATGTACAAAGTAGCCAGATTGTCTGATGAGAATACCACTCAGTTGAAATCTGGCTACTTGGTTACTTAAAGACAGTCTCATAAGGGTGCTTGTAAGTCAGGAGGTACTACCGAGCATTAACTTTATTTGAAGACTTGCGGGGGTCTTCAAAAAAAAAAATATATTATTTTTATTATAAAGAAACCCAATGCTGGCTGATAAGCGCCCTCTGCTGGTCACAAGGTAACAGTGACTCAATTTTTATTGCAATGGAGATACTTAAGCGCCACTGAGTCAGTTCTGACTCATATAGAGACCCTGTTTAGGTTTTCCACAGAATGGAGTGGCTGGTGGGTTTGAACCACCAACCTTGCAGTTAGCAGTCCAGTGCTACTTGAAACTGGGTTTATCACAGTATATTTTAAACAAAACATTGGAAATTACTGGTTGAGGAGGGAGACCTGCTGTAAATAATATTTTGGAAAGGATAATAATGATGAATTTTACGTCAAACCCTATTAGAGTAAAAACAATTATAACAAAAACCTCTGTAAAAATGCATATATGAGGGGAATTAAAAAATGAAATGATAATGGAATTTTTCCATGAATTTTCAGAAGCTCTCTCATACATAACTAGGAATAATTATTGAATATATTTAAGAACATCCCAGACAGGGAATAAATCCTTATCAGTGCCTACGGAAGCATTGGAGCAGTACCTTACGCTCCAGTTGGGCCAAGAGATCTTTTAGTTGCTGGTTTGGGGTAGAAGCAGAGGGAATGCCTAGAGGGGCCCGGACGATGCGGACGATACGGGGCCAGGGTTGATGGGGAAAACTAAGTACCAAGGTGGTGGTTGTGTGCAGGGGAGTTGGTTCTGGCTCCTAGCAACACTTATAGGGTTTCTGTTTTTGAGACTGTAAATCTTTAGGGAGCAGAAAGTTTCATTTTTCTCCCATTGAAGCAGCTAGTACAGTTGAACTACTAACCTTGCAGTTAGCAGCTCACCTTTGAGCCACTATGCTACAAGGGCTTCTTGAAGAATACTTAACACAGTGGCTATTTACCAGGTAGAATGGAAGGGCTGCAATGTTTTAACAATTTACAGCTGTGTCATTTGAATACGGCCCCCCATCAAAGCAATCACAGTAATAATCAGCGTGTATTTCCCAAAGTTGCTGATGGAAAGGAATATAAATGCAATGAAAAATTATAAATTCCTTTGTAATTTGATATATTTCAACCAGCACCATGTTTATATATACAAATATGAAGTTGACCTTACTTACCTTCAACAGACGTATTTCCCTTAGTGCTATTTTCTTAACAACAGGATCATCTTCAGATTCCACAAATTTTTTAATAGCTACTACTTGTCCAGAGGTTTTGTTTCTGCATTTGAATACAACCCCATAAGATCCTTCTCCAATCTTAGCCAATTTTTCATACTTTTCCATAATATTTGAAGGAACTGAAGTTACTGTTTTGATCAACTTGCGGTATAATGTCACACCTGGAAAATAAGATTGACTCAGCTTATTTAAGTTACAAAGAGCAATGTTCTCATAGTTTACTACATAAAACCACTTTCCCAAGAATGCCAAGGATTTATTTCCACCAATTATTTTAAAGTACCTTTAAAGCATATTTGAAAGCTAATTTGGTCTTATCCTCTGTAGCTCTTCAGATCACAAAGATTTCATCATATGTTATTCCTAGTAATGGATCTGTTTATCTCAGTGAATTAAAAGAATTTGTCCAATCTATTGTCATTATCCTCAAGTAAATGATTAAAGTATGATGGTATAAAATTCAATTGAACAAACATTTCTTCCTCCTGAATACGGCTTTATGTTTTATTCCTTACCCAATCTGACATTTGAATACAGCAACTACGACACGGGCTCTCTGTGTAAGAAGACATGATACAAAGTGCTATACTTCCACCTGGTGGTCAGAGAAGAGAACGACACTGTGGGCTGCTGAACAAAGCAGACATTAAACACAGTAACAAAAGCCTTTAGGGCACATCATTGAATGCTCTGAGCTTCTATTTTGTTTATATCTCACTCTGTCTTGTGATTTGGACGAAAGTTTACAGAACACACTGGTTTTACATTCAACAATTTATATTTTATTTTTAAGGAGGAACATATCCTTATATTCTTAGCTCTCAAAGAAAATAAATAACATGAAAGCACCAAAAAGGAAGGGCGGATTTCTTTACTGAAAGAACACTTGTATACCCATAGTGATTTGTACAGAAAGCGAAGTTTCCAACAAGTTGATTCCAACTCACGATGAGCCCACGTGTGCAGAGTAGAACTGTACCAGAGGGTTTTCAAGGCTGTGAGCTTTCGGAGGCAGATCGTCAGGATTGTCTTGGAACGCTAACCTTTTGGCTAGTAGATGAGTCTAGTGCTTAACCCTTTGTACCACCCAGGAATCCCTCTACGGAAATGCTAAGTGCCATCAAGTCGGTTCTGACTCATAACGATCCTGTATAGGGTTTCTGAGGAACGACTGGACGGTTTGAACCACCAATTCTGTGGTTCAAACTGACCTTGCGGTTCCCAGTGCTCAGCCTGCAGCGCCAGTGGGTTTAACATTTCAATCTATTGTCATGCATTTGTGAGTTTGGTAGTGAAGAGATTACATGTTAAATGACCAATAAAGAAAACATAAATAAATCTATTTAGTAATGAAAGATACAAAAACTCATTTGGAATATCCTGATGACCAGCGGTGTGGTGGTCCCCATCTGTGTACATTCCCAGAGAAGCTCCCGTTTTCTGGGCTGTTAAAGTTGCATCAAACTGTGTGTGCAGCTAATAGCACCACCCTGGCACCTGGAATCAGACGTGGCCTGTTCCAGACCAGCAGAGTTAGCTCTGGTCATTCCAGAACTAAAGGCACCTCTCACCCTCAGCTACCCTCTGGGACAGCTACCCAGCGGCTTTGGGGTTTGCACAAACTACTTCCGTTTTGGGTGTTCAGAACAGAAAACGCCTAGCACTACAGGAACTCCATCTAGGGTTGAGTGTTACTGTCTCATCCCTTATCCACCCATGACGTGAGGTCCTCAGCTGGCAGGAGACTTCAGAATGTTCTCCTTTCTGGGTCAGGCACCTGTCCTGGGTGCCCCCTCCCCCCTTCATTGTTTTTGTTTGTTTATGCTTTCTCCCTTGTCTTTCTCTCTCTTGTTTTCTAAACACTCGCCCCCCTCCCCACCTTTTTTTGTTTTGTTTTGTTTTTGCTGCTTCTCTTTCCCACACTTCTGGTTTTTAAATTTTCTTCTTTTTTTAAATCCCTCCATACATTTTTTTTTTTTTTTTAAACTACTCTCTGGTATGTTTCCCTTTTACTCATTCACGTCCCTAATAGTGTTTACAACTTTTTCTTTTCTTTTCATTTTTTCTCTTTTTACATTGCTTTCCTCTCCCTTTTTTCTCTCTTTGATTTTTGCATTCTTGTGCTAGCTGGTGCCTGCTTTTTTTTTTTTTTTTCTTTATTATTTCCTTTTATTCTCTGATGTTTGATGGTCTGTGTTAGTTTTCCTTCTCTCTTGTGTCTGTGTTTTCTCTTCTTGCCTCACCCAACAGAAGACTGCAACTGTGTCCACACAACCCAGCCACAACCACAGCTGCTACACACCAGATCAACAACAACAACCAACATCAGCTAAAGCCATCATGAAATGACACGGCACAGAATGTTACACAAGCTCAGCTCCTGTTCACACTCACCAGGAGGCAGATGGTGAGTGCCTCAGCACACACCAACATACAATCATCAACCTAATACAAATGCAACAACACCTCAATGTCTCAAAAGTAGCAGACAATTTCTGTTCCCACAAAGAAACAAGACAGAGTGCCTCAACCAGGGGATCAAGAGGCAGAGCTAGAAAATATTTTTGAGGAAAAAATGGCATTGAAACTACCTGAAAAATAATTTAAGAGAATGATATGACTGACAAAAAAGGTTCAGGAACACAAGAGAGAACTGAAGAAAGCACTATAGGAACAATCAAACAAAACAATAAAGGATTGGAGATAATACAAAATCTGCATCTAGAAATCCAGAAGATGAATAGTAAGACTTCAGAAATGGCCAACACATTGAAAGGACAAAGTTGTAGATTAGATTCAGTGGAAGCCCGAATTAATGAACTTGAAAATAAATCTCTCAATATTAATAAGCTACAAGAACAATCAGAAAAAAATAATTTTAAAATCTGAAGAAAGCCTGAGATTCACATGGGACAACATGAAGAGGAATATTTACGAGAGATTGAAATTCCAGACCAGAAAGAGACAAACAAAAATACAGAAAAGATAGTTGAAAAGCTGTTGAAAGAAAATTTCCCTAATATCATGAAAGAGAAGATAAATATTCAAGAAGCTGAATGGACCCCAAGAGGATAGAACCCAAAAGAAAATCATCGAGACATATCATAATCAAAGTCTCTAAAATCAAAGACAAGGGAGGAATCCTGAAAGTAGCTCAGGAAAAATGAAAACTTATCTACAAAGGAGAAGCAATAAGATTAATTTCAGATTTATCTGCAGAAACCATGAAAGCAAGAGGCAAAAAACTCTGAAAGGAAAAAAATGCCAACTAAGAAACATACCCCTCAAATATGATGGCAAAATTAGAACATTTCCAGATAAACAGATATTAAAGGAATTTGTAAAAAAACAACAACAACAACAAACAAACCAGATCAACTTCAGAAAAAAATACTAAAGGAATCCTTTGGACTGAAAACTAATAACAGCAAACGACAACTGAAAATTGACATATATGGCAACACCACCCAGAATTCAACCCAGATACAGAAGTATTAAAAGTAAAACAGGAGTCCTGGTGTGGCGCTGCAGGTTAATGCACTGGGCTTCAAGGTTGGTTTGAACTGCAAGGTCGGTGGTTCAAGCTCACCAGCTGCTCCTCAAAAACCCTATACAAGATCACTGAGTCAAAACTGACTTGATAGCACTTAACAACAGCAAAAACAAAGTAAAACAAACTACAGGACTGGAACTAGGGAATCAGATATATCAATCTATAATCAAGACAATTAACAAAGCAAAAAGAGGAGAAAGTGTACTTACAGAATTCCAAACGGTGAGGAAGTCAAGTAGATTTCAAGATAAAATAGACTGTTTTAAGAGGAGGAAGAAATGAATAATTACAGAGTAATCTCAAAGAAAATTAACACACATTTACATCAAATCAGGAAAAGGAAAACCATGAAGTTTTTGTAAATATTAAAACAGCAGTGAAGAAATTGATAAGAAAACACATAAACAAAACGAACTCAGCACAGAAAAATTTGTGGTACAAAGAAAACAGAAGCACCACACGCATACTCACACACACAAAATTACATAGCAAAATGCTACAGTCAAGTCATGCTGTTATTGTTAAGTGCCGTCGAGTACCGGGTTTCCGAGGCTGTAAATCTTTACGGGAGCAGAAAGCTTCATCTTTCTCCTGCGGAGCGGCTGGTAGTTTCAAACTGCTGTCCTTGAGGTTCACAGCCCGACTTGTAACCACTATGCTACCAGATCTCCTTACCAAAGCAAGTAGAGGGAAGGAAGTAATAAACATTACAACAGACATTACTACCAGCAATTCGAAAAAGAGCAGCAAAGTAGTCTTCTGCCACAAGAAAAAAAAAGATTAGAACAGAAATAAGTGAATTAGGAAAAAAACAAAAAAAAACCCCACAAAGAATCAACAAGACAAGCAGTTAGTTCTCTGAAAGAATAATAAAATTGACAAACCATTGGCAAATCTAACAAAAGATGCAAATAACATGCATAAGAAATTATATGGGTGACATCACAAAAGAACCAATGGAAATAAAATGGATAATAGCAGAACATACTATGAGAACTGGATTAATTTTTAGAAAAACACAAGCTACCTAAACTAACAGAGAGTGAAGTTGGACAGATCTGTAACAAACTAATTGATTAGGTAACTTAAAAACTCTCAACAAAAATTAATGCGGGCCCAGATGGGTTTGCTGGTGAATTTTACCAATCATTCAGAGAAGAGCTGACTTCAATTTTACTCAAATTATTTCAGATTATAGAATAGGATGGAAAATTCAAAAATATATTTTATCAAGCAAGCATAACCCTCATACCACTACTAGGCAAAGACATCACTAATAAAACTACAGAACACAGATAGAAAAATTTTCAACAAAATCATAGCCAATACAGCCTGGAACAGCTAGAGCAACAGATGATATATCTTTAAAGAAAGATCATCAGGAAAACCCCCAAACAAAAATGTCAGCACGACTGGCTACTACAAGAATAAGCAAGCTGTTCACTGGGAAGCCATCAAGATAAGCAATCAAGTCCCTTCAGGACAAACCCCCCTCCAAAACTGAAACTCAAAGGGAACACATGAGCAGGCATGTAAGCTTGCTGGCGACCAC